TATATATATATATATATATTTGTATATATATATTTATATATATCGAGTTGATAGTGAAAAGCTGAAACTAACTGAGCTATAAGCAGGGAAAAATTAAATGTTAAAAGCGAATAGTTTATATCAACAAATAATCAGATGTCTGCAAGTAACGTTGCATGCGTAGTTCGATTATGATTGGTTGTTGAAATGGGGAATTTGTTTACATTAGAAACTGTTCTATCCACTTTATTTTGAGTAAACCAAGCCCCTCAAGTATCAATTCTCTTAAGAGACATATTCTATACTCTTTTGCAATGAGTTTTTCACAAAAATTTCAATCCTGTCATTGTATATTTCTTACTTAACACAGACAGGTAAGCCATCAAGTCATGTAAAACATAAACAAACTAATTGTGCATCGTAGTTGACAGTTAATCAAAACAAAAATATATCGCGGTTACAATAAAATACATAAACAAATAATAAATATAAGTTAAGTAAAAGATGTAAACAAGAAAGAATAATATTTCAACAAATTCTATGACTGATACAGAGCTATGTTTTATTAATTTCATATCATTTAACATTCTAACTTATGTGTAGAAACTTAGTTCAACTTTAACATTCCATTTTGCTTATAAATCACATCATGGGTCACGAGTGTAGACATTCTTGATCTTCGTCTTAAAGTGCAAGTAACCATAGTATCCATATTATGTTTTTATTATGCTTATACAAGTTCATTAATAATTTCATTTATTGCTATTGTTATTCATTGAAAAATTAGCCGAACTGTTACTTTTTTTTAAGTGTAATGAAAACGACGTATTCGAAGAGCAGAAGAAAGCGTTAAATAACTTATTGACTAATAATGTAGAATTTTTTAAAGAGGAGTTAGTTTTAGAGATTTTAATAATTGATTTAAATTGAAATTTTAAGCTAGAACACATTTTAAACGATTTTAACTTAATAGCAAACCAAATGAGCAAGATTTGCAAAACAAATCATCTAAAATTATATTGCAAATCTTTGTGAGTTGGTAGGATAAAATTTTATTCCATATTTTAAAATCTTCGTTATAGAAACATTTCGAGTGTTTTGTGAAAATAATATCAGATACAATTTCTAATTTTTTTCATTTTGAAAGTTGCAAATTGATGTCTAATTGTAACTTTGTGTCCAGCAACGCATATTTCATCAAAGTCAGTAAATCGTTAAAACGGACTCTTTACTAAACGGATTCTTCCTTTAGTAAAACAAAATAGAGCCAATGACGTTTTTAATTTATAATTTTATATTTAAAACCCATTGAAAACGTGACTTTTGTTTTATCTTTCATAAAAAAGAACTTATTTCGATATACACAAAATGAGCAGATTTTTCACAATATAATAAAAAATTGATCTTTTTCAAAAAGTCATTTATACTCTGACTAATTCAGACCTTTTGTAATTTAGCAATACTTTATTTTATGTGATTAAAAGAAGAAATGAAACTTCATAAAAAATCTTGAAATATTTCATTACTGAAATAAAATGTACAGATCTTCCAAAAAGGGAGTGTTTATAACTAAGAAAATTAGTAATTTGACTTGCATAATCAAATTACTGGAAAATATTAATAAGTAATGTGAAGAGTTGAAATTAAAATGCACACATTTATTTAAAGGAATTATTCTGTTTTAAATAAATAAATTCCCAAATTAAGATCAAATGTTTTTTTATTCTTCTAGTAATTTTTATTTTAAATTGTGTTTCAAAACTGAGTTTGATAAATTTTTTTATAATTATAAATTTTATAATTATATGTTTATAATTTGACAGTATAATAAATGAAAAATAAAAAGGCAAGAATAAAAAGGTAAGGAAATAGAGAATAAGAAAAATACCCTCACATACTTTTACAGATTCAAGAATTTCCAGAATTTAATTTGAAAAAAAAAAATAATATTAAGTATTTTATAGTTATGAATCATTAATAGTTTTTTAAGCATTTGGTTAGAAACAAATGTGTAGAGCTTGTTCATATAATTTGAACTTTCTGTCAATACATAATAATGTTTCTATTATTCGTTACAGGTTTTATTAATTTAATCCTGTCATGGAAACCCTGGTTTCCTTTATCCAGATTAGTTCTACTCGTGTATCTCATACAGCCTGTAATAGAGATTGTGCATATCGGTTCATATAAATCCCCTCATGAATTCTCACATTTTGAGCTTGTAAGTACAAAATTTTTTCACTGATTCAAATTTTTTCATTGATATTTCATATCAATTAAAGATATAAAATACGATTTTTTAAGATTATTAGATACGAACGTAAACGTTGATGTCCATTACGTAACGATGAACAATAATATATATATATATATATATGTATATTTAAAAAAAGTTTCAAATATGTTCTCCTTCAAATAAATATATAAATGTATGGCTTTTATCATTCGAGTTAAGTTTTAATTCACATTTCAGTATTTATTAGTCATGTTGTTAAAAACTGGAAACTCTATTTAAATGGCTCTTCAAAAAAGCTGAAATGTATATATGCATTTTTTTTAAAAAAGGCTCAAATATGTACCCACTTTTCAGAGTTTTTATCATTCTAGTCAAGCTTTAATTCAAATTTCAATATTTAGCAGCTATTCTATTAAAAACTGGACACAACACTTAAATAGTATTTCGATTTATTTGCATTATATTTGAATTTTTGCGATTATATTTGCATTCTTTTTTAAAATTTCAATTTTCTTGGATTCACTGTATACCCGCCCTCTTTTCAAACAAATGTAAAAATCTATAGTTTTTATCATTATGAAAAATTCTGGATTAAATTACGGTAAAAACCATTAGCACCCTGGTGCAGAATCCGTAAGGATTTCTATAGTAACTATTAGAATAATATTTAATTAATTATAGTAATGCAGTGATTTTTCAATATATATTACTATAAAAATTACGGTTAATTATGCTTTTCGTTCCATAATATTTTACGGTAAAAATAAATTTCACGATAAAAAGTACCGAGTTTCTTCAGTGTATACAACTTATCATGTAAAGCTCTTATTTTCTAACTGCGTTTGCTCATTAATTGCGTAATAAGCAAATCAATAATTCGATAGTGGCGGAGCTACGTTGTAGCTATCATAAATTTTGTAAAAAATCTTTTTGAACATTTTTATTATTGTAATACTTAACTACTAAATTATTATTCACTCAAGCTAAAAAATTCTATTGCATTTTGAAATTCATTTTTTTACGAATTTTTTTTTTCATTTTTTCAATTTTTTATTATTTGACAAAATTTTTAGTATTGATTATTATTAGACTTAGATTAAGTTATTAGAAAATTTCATGTCTTTTAACCCACGACTCATTAGAAAAAACAGCATAGTACTTGATTTTATCATACCTGAACTAAGTAAAGACTTCAAACTGTGAAAGCAAAAGAAAGACGGAACATTTGTTTTCACGTAGCAAATTTTACACGCCATAGCATCCAGATAGTTATGTTATGTTAAGTCATTATAGAACTTTTAAGTGTTAATAAGAATAAGTGAAGAAAATTATCTCTCTTAATATCAAAATATCTTAATATCGAAATATATATATATAGGAAATGGATTTTTTCCTATATATTTACTCTTTAAAATTTAATCAGTTGTGGTAGCCACGTTAAGTAAATGTTTTCGAAGTAGACAACTCAAAGAAATTTATTCAAATATTTAGCTTTACAACTCATCACAAATTCAGAACATCGATACTTCATACCTTGATGAAGGACTTTATAATAAAAGTTGTAAAATAAAGATCAAAAATAAAATTTTTACTCTTTTTTTAAAAGAAGCGAAAAAAAATTACTTGATGAACATGCTTGGATTCACTGTAGGAAATACCAGATTAAATTACGCTAAAAAGATAGACACTGAGGGTACCAGTACTTTTTAACGTAAAATCCGTTTTTGCTGGAACATGTTACGGAACAAAAGATCTGATATAACGTATTTTTTACAGTTATAATTAACGTATGATCACTGAATCACTCATGAAATAAATATAATTGTAAAAATTACAATATAATATCAGTGAAAATGGATTTTACGAATGATGCAATTATTGGTACTGTTGCTACTGTATGAAGTGTTTGTACTTCATACAGTAATTTTATCCGAAATTTTCTATGAGCTACTATTGACGAACACAAAATGCTGATAAGTAATAAACTATTACAAATTATGTCATATCTTCAGAAACTGAAGTAAATAAAAAAAATTCATTTGTAAAAATCTACTAATATTTGGATAAAAATATAAAGATAAAATTACTTCAAATATAGAAACAATGCTTTTATAGAATGTATGAATGCCATACAGAGTACAAAATACTCACCTTAGTCAATAGTGGAATAGTGATCTGAACTAACGTAAGTTTCTGTATATATACTTGTTTCAAAATCTACTCGCAATGAATATACTTTGACTTTTTTCAAAACAAAAATGTGTTTTCCCTATACATAGCACTCTTGAGGTGGTTACATATGTATGAGTCGAGCGGAACTCTTCCCTTGAGAAATGTATGGTGGAAGTTAAAAACTGTTCACGTTGTAGAATTCGATCAAAAATCGAATAAACTACATCGATATGAAACCCCGATATCATGTTTTTTAAATATCTATTTTTTGACACTTTCTATTACTCACTTCCGTTCTTTAATAGAATTTCCTGGATAAGTCACAGGTATTCAAAATTTTGCATACTGAGTGCTNTATGGCGTATTAAGTTCAACATTCTATTCCTAGCTCGTTTAAATGGACATGCCATAAAATTCTTCATATTTTACATGGACTTAAAAGCCTACAAATAAGAATAGTTAAGACTCATAAATATCTGTAAAACATTGTTATTTCTTCTAAATAACGAATTCCTAACTAATTCAAACCCCAGGAATGATGTATTGGACTATCATTTAGGTAGAATATAGAGGATTTTAAAATTTGCTTTCGACTGCTTTTATGTGTTCTTCTATTACAAGTTTTTAAACGACACCCAAATGGGCCCTTTTCAGTGACTAAGAATCAAAAGAATCTACAACATTTTTACTGAAAATATGATTAGGATTTGTTTTCACCCTTAACATCTCCTCTTTTTAAAATACTTTCTATAACAAAATGGAGATGATTTAAATTTATGTTACCATCTGGAATGAAAAGTAATTGACTCTGTCCTTTAAACTAAATCTGCGATATTTAACTATTTCGTATTTTACCGGATAAACTTACTTCAACCAAGACTTAGATAAAGATGATTTGAGTTCATGTTACCATCAGAAACAAATAAAATAGATAAGCATTTAAGGAAAAATCAATTAAATGAGTGAAACCTCGAAGTATTGGTTCATTATATATTTCTTTTTATTTATTTAGAAAATTAAATTTTTAAATTTACTTTAATTAAAAAAAAGAAAGAAATGAAAAAAAGAAATATTGATGTTATAAGAAAGAGACATTTGATGAAGGCAGGAAATAATATCCAGTTTTCTTCATCCGAAAGGAATCTATCTTTGGAGGAAAGACTTTCTCATAAGCTGTGTATCCTCCTAGGAAAGGGTTTAACTGACGTCCCGCACATTAATCTTGATTTAGTTTCCGCCGGAATCTGGGTTTTTTTTCCCCGGAAGAAAAAGTCGTTTATCCACAGAACATGCTTTTGAAAACGATGTTCCTTATCCTTCAGAGTAAATTTTCATCCAGTTATATGATCCATTGCTTTAGCAGTCAATTCCTCCAAAAGGAATATTCTTATGGATTTTATCCTTCACGGTTTCCAGAAAATAACTCACTTTACCGAACATTTACATTTTTTTATTTATTTATCACGCATGTATTTTGGGAATTAAAAGTAAGAATTGTATTTTCTGAACTAATGAACACATTCAAAGAAGGAATCATAGAGAAATATTTATTCAAATAAAGAGATGTGTAATTTCTTTAAGGAAAACATAGGTGCATGAGGAACAATTATTTCCTCAAAAAATGCCAGGAAAATCAAGATTATTTTTAATAACATAAAAATGTGGAAGGATATATATATATATATATATATATATATAATTCCAAATGTTTAAGAGAAATCGGAAAAACAAAATAAAGAAGAGATATAATTTCGTCATCAGCACATCCAAAAAAAAACACCTTCTCATATTGTGTTAAGATAACCAAAGGAAAATATATCAATACAATAGTGTGAGTTTATTGTATTCTTAATCGAAAATGATGGACATGGGAGGTCTATAGCTTTCAGAAAAACATATAAAATTTTTTGTTTGTATTTCAGTCTGAGTGGTAGCGCTTCGCGCTGCCGTGCCACAGGTCCTTGGTTCGATCCTTGGGCCGGGCAAGGCCGACTCAGCCTTTCATCCCTTCAGTGGGTCGATAAAATGAGTACCAAGCATGCTTGGGAACTAACACTGGGGGTTCTGCGTTCGGCTGACCACCTGACCGGAACATATGCTCTTGCACCCCAGAGCCCAAGGTCAAGAAAACTGAGATGGGCACAGTCGGCCTTGGCCCTCTTAATGGGCTGTCGCGCCACTGAGTTAGTTTTTTTAGTTATTTCAGTCTGATCAATTAACGTAATTTATGATAAATTCGAAATGCAATCCTTAGAATGCTTTTAAAACTTATATATGTTTCTCAGTGTAAGAGGGTCATAATAATAATTTGTTGCTATAAGTAAGTATTTCACTAGAAAAAACTATTAAATTTAAATTGATATATTAATTAACATATCATTTCCAAATTTATAATATGAGTATATTTAAAAAGACGGACAATTTATTTTTTCATTATTTCTACATATATTCTGTTTTATCTGACTAGAGGTCACATGATAAAATCAGGTTTTAGCAAAAAGTGTCCAAAATATAACTAAACCCTTTACCCTCCAAAATATAGTTTTTGCATTAAATAATTTTTATTTTATCATTTTAAGGTCTGTTTTAATGTAGAAATTAAAATTTAATCAATTTTATTCATGGAGGTGTTTAAGGAAAAAATAACTTTGAGGACCGGTTTTATCAGCCTAGCACCTAAATCTAATTTAGTTTTTGTTTTGATACTGGAATAAAATTTTTCTTCTAGGTTATAACGTCTTTTGGGTTTCTATTGCTATCTGGTCTTTTGGCTCTAATAGGATCATTTTTGGTTGAATCGCCAGTTCTGGCGTTTGAAGGAGTATTTTTCCCCACAGTTAAAGAAGCATTGAATATAGTGCCAGAAAAGGAACATTGTAATGGAAAAAATGTAAAAAAGTCTGTGAAATTTGCTACAAATGGTGATATGGAGATGAATGATTTTAGCATCAAAAAATATGACTGTATGGATAATAAAGCTTATGAGTATTCCTCATAAGGTCTTACATTTCACCCAAACTGCAATTATGCTGATTATGACATTCATAAAAAATACCTCTTGTATAATAGCGGCAGAATATTTATTGTGTTATATGATGGATTTTTGTTTAAACAGTATTTGTAAAACTTTCAATAAAATTGTAAGAGATCTGTTCCACGGCTTTATGAGCCTGCTCCAAATTTCTTTAACTTCATAGAAGACTATTGTTTAGAGATTAACGGCATTTAATCATTTAACTGAGTGACTTCATTATTCGCCACTTTATAATAATCCTTTTATTAATATTTAAATGTTTCCGTAGGAAAATAAGGCTACAATAAAACTGTTAAACCCAAAGAGTTTCGAAATAAAATTTACGATATTTACAAACATAGGGAATATTATTACTGAATATAGTTTGATAGTTCTACTTTGTATGTTCCAAATCAAAACTCTCAATTTTATATGAAGTGTTTTGATGAAAAAGGAACAAAAATATTGTCGGTTGAATGTTTGAAAATATTTTGTATTAAAATGAAAAGTTAGTTTTCAAGGCTATTGAAATTATTATAAAGAGAAACGGAAGGAATATCTCTACTTTTCTATTAAGATGAAAACCGACTAAGAGTTCCAGTTTGCTTTCGAACGGCACAGATTGGAACTGGCTCCAAAAGCTCCGTGTCGGGAAACAGACCCATTATTGGAAGTTTTCATCTTTTTGAACTATAATATCATTCAAATTAACTGCAACAGCAATATGGTGCTAAATTTAGATTCACTATGATAATTCTTAAAGAGGATATTGAGATACTATGGTTCAGTTTGAATGGAAGCATAATTAAATTTAACACTTTTTCAAGTTTGCAGCAAATTTGTACTGTATTAAGGTTCAAAATATCAATATGAAGTTTCAACGTTGAGCTGGTTATTCTGAGAATTTAGAGAATAATAATTTTGTAAACACAATATGTATGATATGATTTCAATAAAGCTAATGATAACTCTTTAATAGTTCTTGAAATAATACAATAAACAACCTTAATCGCTAAAAAACTGTAAAAAAATCCACAGACATTATTGATACCAGTGACGCCTAATTAAATAGGTTTGCATCGTAGTTTATTTTTTTACCGTCATTGAACATAAATTTTTGTGTATACGACTATTTTTTTTCAAGTGAAGTTAAGCAAAGGCATTCGTGGATCAAGCATTGGGAGAAACTAGCCTTAATGAGAATCATTTTGACGAAAATAACCAGCATTTGTGTTACATAAAGTGGAAAATCTCTATCGGTTAGCCTGACACCAAGAGAATTCTGACCCATAATTCGTGTACCACTGAGGACGTTTTAAGTCTGCACTGATGAAAAGCATTTTTAAAACCCTAGAAATGGATAAGGGCCATTTTTATATCAATTATTGAGTGAGTATTATTATTGAACTGAAAACTGAAATAGGACACTCTTCAGTGTTCTATTTCATGCTCAATTCTCATTCTATTTCACAAGTTAATTATTTATTTACAAACTCAATAAGAACTGAATGCCAAAAATTGGAAACTTTTGCGTAGTATGGGGTATTATAGTTGATTTTTAAGAATAAATTCAGTTAAGTTCTTATAAACTGAGATTGTCTTTGACAAATGTTACCTCACTGTAAAAATATTTTTATGCTTATACGAGTTCGTACTTGCTGAAATTTATTTGTTTGTGCACTTTTTAAAAACTGAACTCTAATGTATATTTAATATTATCTATCTGTTAGTTTAAATTAAACAAAGTTGCTTTTATTTAGAATTTAATATTAAAACTGCGAGTTTTCATAGTTTTAAAGTTATATCCAATTTTGCACAAGAGAAATTATTGACCATAAGAATATAACAGTAAATAGAGAAATAAAGTTTATATTACTGATATTAACTAATAAATTAAATATTTTCAATTAATGAAAAGTTAATTTAAAATTGTTATTTGCATTATTACAGTTGTTATACTTATTTAAAAACTGAAAAAATATTAAGCGTTTAACAGAATGCATCTGTTGGGAAAAATGATGTTTCCTCCTAATTTTAATTAGTGTTTTGGAAATATCGATGATGAAATATTAAAATTGTTTCTTCAAAAGTTCATTTTTAACATTTTTAACAGCAGGGTTTAAAAGTTTTTAAATCAGATTATTGAAAAAAATAGCAGCTATTTTTCGTAACTCTATCATGCCAATTCGTTTCTAATCGGGTCGCAGTTTAAAATAGTTTCCAACTGCGCAAGAATTAATTGTTTTAAGAATATGATATGTTAATAGGAAAATTTGATATCAGCTACTATCAATATCCATGTTACTGTGCATAACCGAAATTGGTGGTTGTTGACTTTCGCCGGTGAATGTTGACAATCACATAGTCTCTTTGATAAATGTCCGAAACATATACTAGGTTTAGTTAAATGCCTCTGCCCGGTATATCCTACACTGATGTTTTTTAATATTTAGTGCGATTGACCGGTATACATTTGAGGGTTTTCCGAACACTGATATTTCTCCTAATCTATCCTTAGCAGATATTAAAACATCAAATAAATATAATTATATCAACGAATAAATTAATATCAAATCGGATATAACAAATATTTCAGACATTCACCAAAGCGACTATGTGATTGTTGACATTCACCCGTGAAAGTCGACATTCTATAGATTTCTGTCATTCGTGGTGACATCTATAACTGATGTTCCATTACATCAGAAAAATTTCTGAGTTACCTCATGAAATGAATTTAAAAAACGAATATGTTAATGATAGTATGCATTCAAAATCGTGTGTCAATATTACCTACGTTATTTTTTAAAATATCCCAAGGTCATATAACGAGTTAGAGGTTATCTATAACAATTTCCAACTCATCTAGTTAATATTTACTCTGCTGTTTAGTTTGAATGATATTCAGACATGAAACCAATTCTGACTCCGTCTTAAAATGATTTATTCAAAAAATAGTTTAATTAATTCAATAAAACATCGTGATTTTTATATTGAGAAATCATGTCAATGTAAATTTCTTGAGACGCGTCATCGCAACAACTTATATCATCATCAAATATATTTCAAATCATCATCAAATCCATCTGACGGTTGTGAGCCAGGTTTCTGACATGAAATAGTTAACCATGTTTAAACTGTTTCGATTAGCTATGCTTTAATAAATAACCTCATTTTGCTTCTGAACTGAAGTGGAAAATATATGAATTGCTTTGAACAAAGCGATAGCTTATCCTTAGGACATGACACTACTCAATTTATCAAGATTCTATTTGTATTGACAAATAGGGATAAATTTACACTCTATGATGCAAAATAAAATTTTTATTGAGGAGTTTTTCACTACGTTTTCTGAGATGAAATGCTTTACCATAAATAAACTATTTAGATAAGCTACACTTTAGTAAAAAAAAAGTCAACACTAACTAATAGTAACATATATATTTGCCTCGGGAAATAGAGAGTTAGCCTTCCAATGAGGTGAACGGGTTCGAATCCCAGCGATGACTGGTCAGTTCGAATTCCGCAACCGGCTCGCACCGATCGCAGTGCTGACATAAAATATACTCAGTGCTAGACGGATAATGGGTTAGAAACCCATTGCTGTCAGGCTTGCTGTGGAAGGTTTTCGTCGTTTTCCTCTCCATATAACGCAAATGCGGGTTGGTTCCATCAAAAAGTCCTCCAGGAAGGCAAATGTACCCCAATACTTGATTCAGGAGTTTCCTTGTCATCTGGATTAGATTCAAAATGACAAGGCTACATTAGTGATCGTTAACCTAAAAATAGGGTTGGCAATTCAACGATAGTTATAATAGCAATATAAACTTTATATGAAGTTAAAATATTTTTGAAAAATAAAAGTGCAAGTTCAAAAGTTCAAAGGTACGTGAAAAACATGTCCTGTTCATAATAGGAAAGCGTCCCTAGCAGCGTAGGATGACATTTGCGATCATGGTTTCCTAGGTAATTCTTAATCCCCATGAGGTGACTGATTTCCACTAGAAGTTTATCTCAACATTTGCGGGACACCCTATATATATTTATAACATAATGTATCCATTTGTTATTGGTAAAATAGAGAATTTGAGCATTCCTCGAGAAGTTCAATGCAAAGAATGATGAAGATTAGACACCAAAATTTGAAATTACTATTCGATTGAACTTTGTCCTGGCTTTTAATAAAATGCTAAAACACAAAGTTGCAATGAATTTCATAGACCTTATACATGATTGAAAGGTGATTTGATTATTACAGAATTAATTACTATTTATTAAAATCACGATGAAACGCCTTATTAACTACGGAATTTCAGCAAATTTTGTTGCGTAGATCCTTAGGTGTAAGTGCAGTTATCCGTGAAAATGTGTTTGTTAATTATCGTTTGGACACGAATCAATTTGGAAATTTTTATTTATTAGTCATGACTAATTCAATTTCCTGAAAACACAAATTTAGTATATTATAATTTATGCCTTGAGCCACGTTTGAAAAAATAATTTGCTAAAAACTAAAAATTAAAGCAAAAATTAAAAATTTATATTACTCTATAAATGCAATTTTATGATTTAAACTTTACTTACAACTTATTATTAGAAATTAATAATACTCTCACATCAAATTTTATTCAATTTTAAATCCTCATTTTAATTTATTCATGGATACTTGTATTTAGTTTTAATAAGAGACTGGTAATGAAAAAGGGTCACTTTAATACTTTTTAATAATAATACGTCTAATACTTTTTGCCTGGTATGCATGGCAAATTTTTTTGACCTTCACATTAAAACTGGAATAAAATGTCAAGGTTAATTAAAGAGTAATTCAAGAATCTCATAATTATTTATTACTTGATGTAACAAAATGATGACATAACTGACATCATACCAAAAAGGAAACTTTGTAAAAGATGCATTATTCATGTTGGCACGTTCGTGTTTTATAAATCTAATAATCGTGACTGTTTCAATTTGTTCATGTGTTAAAGATTATGTCATAACACAGGATTATATTCCAGTTAATTTTCATTTGTAAGTGTTTTTTCAGTCCTTCTTTTTTACGAAAAACGAACATTGCCCAACAAGCTATTCAATTTATTAAATTGTTATTCAATTTAGAAACGTTTGTTTATAAATATTCTGTAATCT